CGAATTTTTGCTTTGGTCTTTCAATTCTTTAAGTTCAAGTCCTTTTTGGGTGTATTTTGAGTGGAGATAACTGTAAGCCATACAAGGAATCCCTGACTTCGGAGCGGGCAATGAAAAGATTTAAAGTGTCAAACATTCCGATAAGAATTTCACCTGATAATCTTTTTTTGCCAAAAGCTAAATGGGAAATAAACACGACAAAGTACCCATACTCCTGCCATTTTGACAAGGAACAATCTGCCGGGAGTTGATTCACTTTCTTCTTCAGCAATAGCGTCATGTGTAGTCATTATTGTTGGCCTAGATCTTGTTCCTTACAATCAAAGGCATCTCCGTTGTTGCAGAACAAAACCATTGTTCATTGTCAGTTGTTAGTAGAACTTGTTGGATGACTGGACAGCTACTTATGATAATTACACCACACAATTTCGTAAATTCATGAACGCTGACAAACTTCCAGCCCATTATACGCACATCCTCATTTTTGAAAATTGTTATCCAATGTCATTTAAAAAAGTTCCCTCATTAGCAATGTTACAGTGTGCACTGTGTCATTACTATTGATTTTGGCTTCCTAACTTGTACCCGTTTTAGACCCACCCCATTTGTCATTGAGTGTCGAGAAAATCGGGCAGTCAACTGACAGACATGATGATCCCATTCTGAGTGAAAATTTATTCAGGAGGGGGCACCCTCTTATGCACAAAGGTGGGTTGGGGGAAATATTGAACACGCAGTTGACCATTGTTTGATAGTTAGCGGTAGCCTGCTACCTAGAACATCTTGCCGATTATAGAACTCTTACTTACCCTTGTGTTTCCCTTTCCCTGAAACTTGGGTGAAAAACAAACTATATTTTTTTGGACAAAAGCATTCCTAATAATAAACTCCACACAGGCCCTCAGAGTCGGCTAACCCTCCTTCACTGCGCTACTAAATACATTTTACCCCATCCTGTAATACGCCCATAGTTTTAAGAATATTTTATTTATCATATAAACATCTGTCAAAGTGAAACATGATTATATAGGCACTTGAAAAAGGCAAAGAAATTGGTTTAGTACGGATGGAATGTATGTTTACTTAGTATACTGACAGCTCATTCCACAGTGACTGATTTGGCCAAATTTCGTGGACGGTCTACCTGAAATTTGCTCATCATTCAGATGATAACACCATTATAACATGAACCTTTCAGAAATCAAGTCGAGTTAAAAATCAAGTGATAAATAGTAAGAGCCAATATTCCTCTATACTTACGTTATGTCCGTTTAGTTCTGCAATGTGGTATGACATTAATTGAAGAGGAATGACTGTAAGTATATTCTGTACACAATCGACTGTCTTCGGTACTCTTAATACATGCTTCATGCCAGCCAAATCCTGAAAGTCGCGTGTGCTCTACTTTTTCTACAGTAAAAATCATTCAAGGAAAACCTCACATTTTCTGGCACTGTGTTATCAGCAATAATAATTGGCGCTCCACCTCTTGCTACCACTTGTTGTAATGCATTCAGCGATTTCTGAAAATGAGACCTAGTAATTCACTGAACACTTTGTTTTTGAATACTTTATTATTTGTTACTTAACATTATTTATTTATTTATAATTTTATATTCAAAATGAAGAGGGGTTTAGTATAGGTACTGAAATTAAAGCAAATGCAAATGGAAACAAAAAAATCTAGCAATGTTCAGCAATAATAAAAAGAGACTATGCTGAATTTCGAATGTACATAATGTAAGAAATATTGTGCACAATGTTTTATATGTTATTTATTTTTATTATTTACTACGAAGCGAACTTTATATGATCACTTGAGTAAAATTGAAACAAAGAGCCTGTTCTGTCCATTAAATAACGAACAGTTCTGAAACAGAGCCTCACGCATTCAGTGGCACGTAGACAGTGCAAAAATTGGCGGTTCAAACATTAGATTTTGCCTTAGACAGATGGCCACATACAGCTAGGAATAAACTGTTGCAGCCGTGAATAGGTCTTGCTCCCACAAACCTTTGTAATCAAATGCAGAAAGAGAATTTCAGAAAATCATTTACATATTCTCAATATATTTGATTGATTACGTATTTATTTCTGATGAACACCAGCGGCAGCCAAGCACTTATTGACTGTTTCAGGAAAAATCACAGGCTAGAGAGCTGTCAGCATCCGTTTTATGCCAGAAAACGACGGTGGAAAGTGGTGATGAAAGAAACTCAAAGCGTAACAAACAACTAAGCGTTGAATCTATTTAAGTATAAATTGAAAGGTATAAACTGAAAGCAAAGCAAAATGTGACTCACCGAAAAGACTGTGTCGTTACAGATAATCATGCAAATACGTAAATTCTCATCGACCATCGCCAATGGGCCATGTTTCAACTCGCCAGACATTATACCCTCGCAATGCATATAAGACAATTCCTAGAAAAAAAGGTACGAACTCTGGGTTTTTAAATGGTTCTAGGTCTACTATGCAAGCTTTCTAATAGGTCATTTAGTCTAAAAATCGTGCATACTTTGATTTTGAGTGCTCCCTCAAGGCATGTGGCGAAATTGAAACCGCGTCCCATAATCAAAAGTGATTTCTCCTTATAGATCTCCTCCGCGATTTTTAGTACCTCTTTGTCTAGGGTTAACACTTCACGGATCAACTCTAAAAAAAATCAATTTTCTCTCCCTTGAAAACCATTACAATTAGTAATTACTGCTTCAAGAATTACCTGGTAAACTGTTCATTGCGTTAATAATCTCTCTTCTTCTATTGATCATTGAAATACGATCATCTGATAGAACTAACGCAAACATGAGAAGAGCCAGAATTTGTGAGGTGTACGCCTGAAAACCTGATTTTGTGAGCACGATGAATGGGTTCCTCTAAGGGAAAAGAATCTTTCAATAAAGAAACCTTGGTAGAAGCGACACCGATTTCGGGACCAGCATTGATGTGAATACCACAGTGTGATTCGCGGCAAATAGACGATCCAACGGTGTTTGTGACTCCAATAAGGAGGGCTCCCCGCGGCTTACAGTACCTGAAGCGGTATAATCGAACAATCTCAACTTCCACAACAAGTATTCCTGTGTAAACAGTGCTATAGTGCATATTAAGGGCTTTCCGAGTAATCTTCGCCATCATTGAAATGTGCAAAACTTTGTTTTTGAGAGAATGCTGCGCCTAGCCCAGCTTCAACTCTTGGGGCAACGGATGCGAGCGGCTGAGGGAGGATGCAATACGATTTAAGCTCTAAATGCGGTCTCAGTAGCAACTAAAGTTAACATCAGAACGTCTTTAGGAATGTGGGTCAAGACAGATTGAGAGAGTAAATGCGCGGTCCCCACGCGTGAGCCTATTTCAAACATGATACCTAATCTTCTGTGTAGGAAAATCATCATGAAAACTACCTGAGTGCCATTAGAGTATCAGCTGTTTCACCGCTTTGTGAGACGAAAATACAGACGTCATCACGGAAAATAGGCGTTTGACGATCGAGGAAGTCCGATGCTAGTTCCAGTACAACTGGCAGTTCGGAAAGCTCTTCCAGGATCTTAAGAATAACTTTAAAAATCAGTGGTCGGCAAACTACTGTCTGCTTTCACATACAACCGTGCCGTTTCGCACATTAAGAATGTCGGCAATAATCAAAAACTCTACAATGCTAGAATTCAAAAACTGCACTTTACCTGTCGACAAGCTATAGCTGAATTGTATGATGTACCACAAGCGACCATTATCAATCGACGACATCTCTTGATGTCCGCAACATAATCCTAAATTGTGTTTTCGGAGCCGAATCGTGATAGAATAAATGTATTCTCTTGAAAAAAAATTGTGATCAAAAAATGATTGATATCAATCTAGAGCTCACCTTAATGCCACCCAGTACCACCTGGCCACTAGGCAAGAGACGACCGCGCATTGTATTCACAACCGAGTCGGGCTGCTCAAAGATTTCCTGGAATCAACAATACTTCAACTACATACATACATACAAACTACCAAATTCATGGTTAATCAAAAAATAAGCATACTTTTTGCATGAAAGTCTTAAAGTTGCCCTTCATAATTTGCTGCAGTTCTAAGTTCAGATTCTGCACCTCACGAGTTTGATCCGATGTACTATCCGACGCTTTGCGAGTGAAACGATGGATGGTGAGTGCTAAAAGACTTTTTTGATCTGAGAAAAGTCGGCGGTGGTAGGTACTATTCAATACTAATTATGGACCATAATACTTTGGAAACTCAGTTACTTATGAAAGAAAAAATATTGGAAGTAATTGCCCTTCAATCTGACCAACCCAACCTATTCCCTCTCCCTGTACATGGAGACTGGATATTTTTCTGGGATTAGAAGACGTACATAAGCGAGGGTGTGGATGCTTTCGATCAATCTTCAAGATGCCATTATTATCCATTAAGAAAGATCTTCGGTTTGAGTGCTTTTTGTTTGATGTCGATCCTTTCATCTCATGCACATTATGGTCAGTAATGTTTTGTTTCCTTGGTGCGTGGTGAGATATCAAATGGTATAGCACAAATCCAAATCAAAACCAAGCCGCTTGGGTTGTCTGGCAGCGTTAGTTTCCTGCCAATATGCGCGATTAAGCTAGAGCCTCGTTTATACTCAGTGTAATGATGTCTGCTTATCGCTGTCAGGGGAGGGAGTCTGGGAGATTACTTCTCACAAAATTACTATATCTAAGTAAGTAATGCGGTGGTGGGTTACGGAGCCATCTGGTTACTATGATATTTAGCAAATTAGTAAATGAAATTGCTGGAAAACTGAGAAAAATAAAAGTAGCAATACTAGCCTTGGAAAGCAGAACAAAATAAGCAAACTTATATGAAAATTACCTCCGTCTTCAACAAAAGCCACATCATCATCCTCCAAGAATAGTACTTGCTTGGTGTGCTCTATGATAGCAGCTGCATCCGACGCGACGAAATATTCCACCTAGAATTGATCGCAAGTGATTTTATCGACCCAACCATTGGTAGGTTCGTGGCTATTTTTTATAGGACTGCTGTTAAAAAGAAGTCGGCTAGACCATCTACACCGTCCGGGAATAGAGCTACGCGGCAGCGCGCTAACCTGCTACGTAGTGTGGACGCATGTTGAATTGAGATAAAGAGCTAAGTATCACCCACTTCCCATTCTTCAGAATCGAACGGCCGTACATTCGTAGTAGAATTTTCACGTTCCTTCAAGTGTGCTGATCGCATACCTGCAAAAAAAGGAGTAAACCGGTCCCAAATTACAACCATTAGTGACAACCAAGAAGGATTTGTAAATCGTAGAAAGGGATAGGGTAGGGACGCTCACGGAAGTGGGAAAGCAAGCAAGGGTTTCGGCGGAAACAAATGATTACCCTGGCAATACTTAGGTTTATACTGAAGCGTTGGCGTTGTAGCCGCGCGCTTCCCCAATGTTTTATTTCAACCCGATCAATACTCACCCGTGGAGAGATCCAGTATGTTCGGAGTGCCGAGGTATGAATCTTCCAGTGAAGTGTGTCGTACTGAATGAACAAGAATTAAATGAGTTTAAATCGAGTAAAATGGTTGTAACATAAGCGTACAAGCATATTTTTAACAACATGCATTATACTTATAGCGGCTGTCAACCAAGAAATTATGAAATAAAGCGATAGACGAGAAGTAGCTTACAGTGAGTGGCTTGAGATGAGACAATACGGCGAGCTGAAATAGTAAAAGCTTGAAAAATAAAACGTAACTCAAGAGGAAGCTGGTACTTAGAACATACAAAATTAATATTTATGTATTAAAATCAGAAGCCGTGTTATTGAAGTGTTATGAAATCAGATATTGGTTAGTTTGCGGTTAACTGACAGTGCAAATAAGCAGCTAAACAGCTAACCTGTACTCTGACATTCCAAATGCTGTTCTTTGTCTCCTAGGTAGGCTTACAGGCTGCTTACATACTTCTCGCATTGCGTTTAAAGTTTGCGCGCTAGGCACGACTATTTTTCTGCTCTCGCCTGCACTCTCTCGACGAGAAAGTCTCGCGAAATGCACTCGTGAAGCAACTTTTTTCCAAATAAAAGTGCAAGCTGTACCTTTGGGCGACTGCTACAGTAGACAAGCGGAAAATTCTATACTGAGGCACGGTACAGTCAAGGAAATGATGCTCCATAGCTACAGGTAGGTGCTTCCTGTTACTTACTAAGACTGCGCTTAAAAAAATTAAAGAATTAAGTCTTCATAGAGCTTGTGAGTATCAAAGAAAAGTGTTCGTTGAGTATAAATGCTGTGTTACTGCGTCAGTATTAGCTGCAAGCATGAAACGTCACTGCAACACCGTAGGACAATGTTCTTGAAGAGCTCATATGAAGGCACAATAAGC